GTGCATTCAGATCTCATAAGGTTACAGCCCTTGGGGTGACTGAATGGGCAAAGAGCATCAGCCTTGTTTTACACACTATCAAGCTTCCACTACTGATGGACAAAACATCTACGTTTTGTGGTAAAGGAAAAGGTGATTTTAGTCCTTGAGAAATTAATAGAAATGCACAGTGAATACTACTTACAAACCGAAAAAAGGGAGTAAAAACCATGAAAGTAAGCATCTGATGGATTGCCTTTGGACAAATCAAACCACAAATTAAAATACAAAGTAAGAAGAAAAAAAAATGTTATATGTATGTATATAAGCCAAAAACTCCAAGAAAGCCAGAGGATTTCTGATAATCTTCAAACTGCAAAATCAGGTTTACAGGATTTCAAGAAACAAAAAATTAAGTAAGATGCTACACCTCTAAAATCACGTTCCTGCTCAACAGAAATTGGAAGTGAAGTCAATGATAGAAAATGCCTTAAGCTTCTTTCACAGAAAACAAAAAAAGAATTGAGCAAGATAAAGAACATGAGATTTTCAGCCTAACATACTGTAAGCATCTAGGGAATCCACTCCTTACTCAGACAGCTTTAACTTTCAATAGTTATTGACACTATACAAAGGACTCCAATATCTTTTTTTTTTTTTTTTCATAGTTCTGCTACTTCTCATGCGTACGGTGGAAGCTCTTTTCCCTGAGGATACAGTAGCTTGGAAATGGAAAATTTGGAGTTCACATAATGGAATCTGTGCTTTGGCTTCAGCATTCTTTCAGTTTGCCTTCAGTCTTGAGTAGGTTCTTGCTAACTTGTAGCTTTGAAAGAACAAGGACGAGCCAATTAATGCTAACTGGGATGTACTGTATATATAAGAGTCGCTCTGAGCAAGTTCAACTCAACGATGCCCAAACCTGTAATAGCAGTCAATCAGCTATTCAAATACTTCAAGAAAGTCAGACTTCACTTCTGTAGGACACAGATTTCCTGGAGTCTGAAGGAAGTGCTTTCCTTAACTTCCAGTTACAGGTTTACATATGAGCGAGCTAGTGTTTTCAAAACTCTGGTCTTATGTCAGCTATTTTAACAAGTGACTTTTGCTAATATGCAAAGATTTATTTTCTATATTTTGTTAGGAATCAATATCTTTGATGTGATATCAGTTTAAAGATTAGGTGTCAAAATGAATTCTTAAGATTGGATTATAGTAAATTCAGTGACAAAAAAGTGTTACTTATAAAGGTATGAATGAAGGATAATTTAACAGAAATTAAAAGGAGTTAAAAAGAAATGCCTGAAAACCTCTGTTGTTTTAACCTGCCGAACTGAACTACTCTGGCAGCATTGCTGTACAGTTTGTATGAAAAGCAGCTGAAAGGCCAGATTTCATTGACACTCTGTTGAAACATAATCTGTTTAAACACAGTTTATCAGTTATCAAGATTATCAGAAAAATACAGCACAAACATGCCCATCAGGAATAGAAAGCCAATTTACAGCGAGTAGGTGTACGGGGCTCAGGAACTTGGTCACAGTGTGGAGAGGCTGCATGGGGCCAGACAAAGATATCTGGTTTAGGATGAGGATGAGGAAGATGAGAAGATACAAACAGTTGGAGAGGAGACTCTGTTCTTGAGAGAGAAGATGAGGAAGTATCAGAGGCTAAAAAGCGAAACAAAAAGAATGATAAAGGGATGTGGAGAGGGCAGGAAAGAAAAAAGATTCAACAGGGTTTAATGGACTAACAGATGCCAAAAATGCAAAGCATTTGTGTCACTATTCAGTAAGATGGAAATGACTTCTACATAAAATAAATATCACTTCTGAGAGCAACAACAACAAAAAATACCCCTTTACTTATATGTACTCTCCTTCCATACCAGAGTACAAAAGTAAATTAAAGATTTTTTTCACTATATTCTAATGCATAAATTTTAAAAATAAATTAAAGGAGAAATAAAGACTAAAGTCTAAAGTAATATTCTTTCTTCCTATGATAAACTCAGTGGACTCCAACGAAATCGAATAATCCGTTTTTTAAAAGATTGAATGCAACTTCTCTTAACCAAACAGCTAATGAGTCTCTAGTGGTTTGCATATACATATCTGCTTTTGGATACGAAATGTGTCTGTCTCCCTATGAGATTTTACTTCAGTGATTGATTAATCAAAACTATTTTTCCCCCCCTCTATATTTATTTCCTTCATCAACATATACAAGCATGGATGGGTGCCACTCATGGCAAGCCAGTTGAAACAGAGGGCAAACTTAAAGTAAATTTGGCACTAGAATCAACAGACTAGCCTTGTAAGAAACCCACAATACACTCTTTTGATATGCAAGGGTTACACAAATTTTAACTTGAATCACTTAATCATTATGGTATTGGTAAGACCTCTATATAAAGCAGTTTTTTAATATCTTTTTTTTAGATGTCAACTTCTGCTTAATTTATACACTAAAGAAAAATAATTTAAACCTAGATTTTTTGATGGATTTTAAAAATTAAATTTCAAGTATATAAGACTTCGGATTTGAATTTTAGCTCTCATTTCTTGGTATTTAGATTGACTGAATTCAGGGCTAGACAGGCAAATAGGATCATCATCATAGACGGTAAGCAAAGTTAGGAAGGGGAAAATTTCTAAATGTTTGCATGTATACACACATATACACAAGGTAACATTACACTGTGAAACAAGGAGGGAAGCAAACATTTTCATCCTAAGAGGATTTTCAGTAATAACTTTCTTGCATTTTAACATTTATTTACTTGTCAAATTCCTTCTGCATTTCTAAACACTGTGGATCCACAGAATTTGCAGATGAGCTCTTTCAACCCTATAAAGGTCTTAACATCCTGATCATCCATTGTTTCTATCATCTATGTATTGTGAACAATATGTTACTGACAGTCTGCTCAAGCTTTCTCAAACAGTATGACAAGCTTCATTTCTTTCATTCTTATATATAACCTTTTAATTCCTGCATTTTTATATAATATTCTGGATGAAGAATTCTGGACAAATCCTGGATGTGGAGCTTTTTTATATATATTATTACAGAGAGAGAGCAGATAGAGCTCTAGTCCTTGCCAGAAATTGAGTACTGATATTGCAACCAGGTTTTTTCTGCTAAAATGAACAACTGGAAAAAACCATCAACAAACAAAAACAACTCCAACTCCCAATTTAAAAAACAAACCAAAAAAAGGACACCCACTCATCCTCCACCATTAACTTTATAAGATAAATAATCAAAAAGGGACCCCATAATTTTAATTTCCCATCTTCTTCTCCTTGACTGTAAAGTTCTGGCAACACAGTTGAGATTCAGAAAAAAAGACAGTTTGGACCTGCCAGAAAAATCAGAATGTATGCAGAGATCCTGTTTTCCAATCAAGATATTGTCTGCATGATTTGAATCTGGTGCAAGCTTCTTGAAAAGCTCACAGTTTTGGATGAGGGTTCATCTTTACTTAAAAGTATTGACAAATCTGCAGTCTTTAAAATGCACCAATTCACTCTGCTCTCAAGTGTAGCAGATATAAAATAGGACACCCTGGGGGTGTAGATCAAAAGCTGTATTTCCCCATTGGAAAAATAACAAAGAAAAAATCTCAACTAACCACAAAGAAACCTTTTACAACACCCATCCCCAAAAAGCACTGTTTTGAAGGCAAAAAATCTTATCTATAGCTATGTCTATCTATATATGTAAATGAAACCTATAAAATCTAGATATGTTCTTAAAAATGAAACAATGAGCTAGACTACAATATAGAATGGTCACCACAGAATGATATAATGTCATCTTCCCCATTTTAATTATACAAATACAAGGAGACATAAGATTCCACATTAGGGGCACCAAGCTACATTATGCCATATCGTATTGCAATTCTTTGAAATCAGGTGACCTGATCTTTGTAATCATAACTGTTTGCATTATAGTAAGCACAGAACACTTTTACTTTATTTTAAATTCAAAACTGAGTGGTCATTCAATCCAACTTTAACTTTCGGAAGTTAAATATCTAAATTGGATTTATCTGTACTGCACAATTCTGATAATGAACAAAGACACACATTACACACTTCAATGTATCTTAATTTATGGGTCAAATGTACTCATATTCATAGGCTGGCAAGCTCTTCTATAAGCTGTTTGTGTCAAAGTGTGATTAAGCAGAAATACACTCCTGAAAGGTGTCAGGAAAAACACGCTACGATTTTCATATAAAACCCAGAAAAGAAAAAACTCTCAATATTTAGAACACAAGTAAGATACTGTAAAAGTTACAAAATACCTTCTGAAATCTTCACAGAATGCATGGCTCACATGCTTTCTGACTGTATAACTTTTAAGGTATATTAGTTTGCATTATGATAACAATATATCAATAAAGGAAATTACATATTGTCAGTATTTACTGACATGTAACAATCTTAACTTTTATGTGGTGCACGTGTGCATTACAACTTTTTGTATGTATGTAAAAATAACACAGTATATACAATTTATAATGAATAAATTTTGCTTATAATGTCAACTATGTCTACAATAAGCCTACCCACCCACATTTTAACATATATTGGATATTTTAATTGATTTAATTAGCAACAATGTCTTCAATTTTTCTGAGATTAAATGTTCTCTGAAATTTTTCTGATTTACCTTTTAAACAAAAATGGGCAAGTACCGAACAGACTGAAAAGCACAGGACTTGGGCAAATAGGCTAGTTCAGCATACTAGTTTTTAGCCCTTGTTTAACAAAATACCCCTAAGCTCAGCAAGATCCATACTACAGATATTTACAGAGAACATGGCCAGAAAACACTTCATAAAAAAAAAAAAAGAAAAAATCAAATGTCACACAATGTCTATTTCTTCTTATATGACAACAATGAAAATATAACTTCATTTTCCAAAATAAACTAAAAAAACTAATGCCAAATCTAGCTATGGCCATACAATTTTACCTATTTCATTGTTCAAATGTAGTTCTTACCTGTTTCAGGATCACTGAAATCTGGTAATGTAATTGTATTAAGCTGTCGTCTGTCAGCAATCGCTCTGTCTAACAGGCTGCTCCCACGGCCGGAGTCACTGGAGTGAAGTACAGAAATTGTGAGCTATTAAAACATAAAATTTTATACTGATATACAAGTCGCATGCTGCCCTACTCCCACAAAGGTTCTTTCTATAAAAGTTCCTGCTATGACCAAATTTAGTACCAAGCACCACTAACCACTCGCAGTGCATTGAGCCAGTTGCACCGAAACAGAATTAAGCTGAGCAAAACTAAATCCGTATTTCCTTCAGCAATTATGTTGTCATAAGTAATACAACCACAAAGGAAATACTGGCTTTTAATTTGGTTCATAACTAACAGCTGTACAGAAAGGATCTACAGTGCCTTAAATATTTATATTTTATGAAGTACAGCTATCACAGAAAGCTGAGAAGGCAGATTTAAGTTTGAGAACCCATACTTCTCTCAGACTGAAGAGAAACACTAAACTCAGGACATCTAATTTTTGGTAAAGATGTTATAAAGATGCCATAACTTCACATAAAAAAGCATCACAATTATCTCCAGAGTTGTGGAGCGGGCTGCCTGCTTGTTGTTTGGTTTTTTTTTTTAATATATGTACACATGCATATTAACTGCCTAATGTTGAATTTGATTCTAGTAGCACAGTAGGAACACTTTGAACACTTCTAACATCTCAGGAGCCTATGCAGCAGCAGTGATATTCACTGATTGCACCTGTGCACAAATGCACTTAATTTCTAGTGTAGCTGTAACTTAGTATCTGTCCCTCAGGTTTCTTATTGATATGCTTGCTGGAAAACTAATTGCTCCTAGAGCTACTATTAAAGATTCAGCAGAAGAACAGGGACTGAAGAACTAAGTGCTCTTTCTCCTTAAGATAAGGCAAGTACTGAGACACATTGTCAGTAAAGTATGAGGAAGCACATATGGGCATTCCTTCTTTAATATTCTATGGTTAATAAAGTAATTTCACTTTCAGGATTGTAAGTCTAGTACTACTCACTATCAATGAACACCGTTTTAAAAGTCTCATTTAAAAAAAAAAAAAAAAGAAAAGAACAAAGCACCCCACAAACTTTAATTAAGCTTTAAAGCAGTTGAACTGTTAGCCCAGCTTTGCAGAGTGTAAACTTTGGTCTGATTCTCACTGAAGAAATAAAAACCTGTACAAACTCCTAGTTTAAAGTAAAGCCTGAGAACCTTTAATCTAAACTGCAAGACTGGAATGCAGCACATCTCTTAATTTGCCTTAACAACACCCTCCTTACAAATTTGAACTGAGAGAAGGTCAAGAAGCCTCTCAGTAACTCCTTATAGTTGCACATTTCAGAAGTCAGTGAAACAACGTCCCCTCTTTCTACCACTGTTACTAAAATGGTATAAATACAATTTTGTATTACTTAACAGTATTGCAGTATTTCCTTACAAAATGACATTATTATAGCAATCCACATGAAACAGAAGGGAATTTTTTGGGACACACACTATGAGCTGTAGTTATTAAATCAGCTGGTATAAATTTTTTGGTAATTGTTGTCTTCATTATTTCTTCAATCCACAAGAAATAACATGCCTGATGTTGCTGGTGAAGAAAGTCAGACTTAGCCTAAGTATCTTGTAAGCACAGCTCTGTCACTGTAGTTTGTTGTGTTTTCCTAATGCAAACTAATAAGTGTAAAAATACTCAACTATTTTCTAATGCACTTCAAGCAGCAGGCTGGAGGTACATATTTAAACCTTCCAAGCTTTGCAGCACAAAATAAGTTTTAAATTCATATTAAGCACCTCATGAGAAAGAAGTGTGTATGTCAATTGAAGGCAAAATAAAAAATGTTCTAAGTCTTAGGCACAGTATGGCATTTGGCCCTTACTTTGTGTGGTATATCTAGTTATTTGTTGTTGTGGGGTTTTTTTTATTACTAAAATATTATTGAGGGCATCAAACCCAAGTTTACTGCACAAAAATCAGATGAATTGAAGAAGAAATATTTAATATAAAACAGCTTATCAAAAAAGTGACTTCTTATCTCATTGGAAAAATGAGACATCAAAATTAGTTTTCAGTCCAAATCAGAATAGGAAAAGATACTTCTAATAAGCATAAAGGATATTTAAATCTTTGACAAACAACATTCTAGAAAGGTTTAAAATTATTAAAAAACCTTTTATTAAAGGTTTAAAGAATTTTTAAAAAGCTTCAATTATTTCCAGTGGGAGACATTTTCAAATGGTGCTTTGCAGCAAAATGAAATGCATGTTAAAATTACAGAATTTGGAAAATTTAACTTTTCACAACAATCCTGCATCATCGTTCTTCAGTTTATTGGGAGTGCAGTCGGGTGAGCAGAACTTCCCAGTCACATTTCAGATTTCAGTGAGAATTGTTATCCCAGTCTGACCAATTTGGATCACTGTGATACCATATGAAGTTATTCAGCCCTTAAATTTCACACAGACCAACCAAAGAAAGATTACAACTTGGTATCTTTATTCACTATTTGATATAACTCTGCACATGTCATTTAGGAAACCCGTCTCCTTCCATCATGACACTTATCCTGTCCATTCCATTCCTAACTTGATTTTAATGCGACACCAGAGCTTCAAGAAAATATTTAAATGTTAAGATAAGAAAGCAGAAAAACTATCAGATGCAAAGCAGTCCTCATTAATTTTTCCACTTAGATGTTCTTGAAGAAGAATGGCAACGAGAATTAGCAATCACTGCTGCTTGAAGCTGACACAGCCAAGAGTATATTTTCACAGTCACTGCTGATGTCTGAAGGAGGCATTACTTAAAGCGTGTTGAACACGGCACAGTAGCTCTTAGCACAAAGACAACAATAACTATGAAGTAATGACAAGCTATGATTAGAGCCCTGATCTCTGCAGAAGATGTCACAGCAGAGAAGGAAGGTGAAAAGTTGTGCCAGAGTACATGCAAAGCCTCTCTGAAATTAGGTTTACACAGAAATTTTAACTATTCTGCAAAGCACAGCACTCTGGTACTAAACTCTTAACCCCCACTACCCACACACACAACCAGTTAACTAAAATAAACCTCCACCCACTAAGGTAGAAGAAAAATTTTCTCCCAGGTCCCTGCTGCTCGTTGAGTGACTCTGACTTGAAAACAATTCAGCTCAAACCTTCCTGGCTTCTGACATACTTGCTTTCTGTACCCTGAGGGATGCTCCCTGTTCCACAAGGCAGTATCAGAGTCTCTCTCTGTGCTCTGAGTGACTCAGATCCCGTCCCAAGCTTTTCCTGCCACACCCTCCAAACATTCCTGCTCTGAACTGCTCACTAGTTTACTAAGGAGAGAAGCAATTTTCCCTCTTTGGTCATTAGGTCACCTTTCTCAGTCCTAAAGAGTTGCATGTATTTACATAACTGAGATCAATTTAGAGCAAAACCTGAACAGTTAATGTTCATCACACTGCTACACAGGTATCTGATGCCACCTGATACAAAGTTCTTCTGCTGTAGCACCTTTTCTTCAAACAACCAAACAGCAGAAAATTCTCCTTGTCCTCTTCTCCACATACTTGATAAACGTGGTTTGTCTAAATATATATGGCAAAGGACTGTAGAAAAAATGTTGTCACTCTGCACTGTTTGCAGTGCATGAATTCAAGCAGGACAGACTTTTGTCCAGGCAGAACTCTCTTGTGAAACTTTATCACTCCATTCCTACATGCAGACTCTCTACCAACCCTGGGTTCGAGCTCTCCAGACAGCAAGATGTTTCCTTATCTCCCCACATACCACACACCCCCATGTGACTGCTTCCAGGCACAGAGAACAGCCATGCTTCAAGTGGCTTTTCAGCTTGACCTTGTGATTCTTTTCACACACACACAAATTTTAGCTTTGGCTCGCTCAGGACCGCAATATTTTTACTTTAGTATTTTCTCCTTCTTCTTCTTTTATCAGCCAGGTGGCTGGTGTTGTTCATCCAGCCACTTCTACAAAGGACCTTCACAAAAGCATTTTGGAAACCCAAAGAGGACTGTAACAACTTGTCCATACACTTGGTACTGCCTTTGAATACCTAATTAGGTTCATAAACAAGACATCCTTTAAAAAAAAAGCCATGCTGACCTTACAAGCATATCATATCTATCCATGTGACCTCTGATGCTTTTTCAATAATCTCTACTCCTCTTTCATATTATTTGATGAAAATCCTTGAACTATGTTTCCACTACAGCAATCTCTCCACTAACCAAAATAAAAGACTCTAAAACCCCAAATCAGGAAAAAACCCAAGATCATACGAGTACATTGAGAATGGATGAGTTACACAATCTCTCTAAGCAGTGCTCACCTCTGCAGAATTTATTAGCTTTGGCATACCTTACTTCATGGAACCCTAGGTACTTCTACATGACCATCAACTGGTGTCTTTGCACTTCATCCCCCAGATTCCCAGAGGATTAGTTTGTTCATAGGAAATGCCAGACCAAGCAAATGCAGGACTGCTAACTTAATATTGCCATGAAAGACTACTGAGCAGGGTGGTGAGCAGCCTAGAATTCCACAGAATCTTACCTTGGGTTAGTGAGATTGTAGCAGGATTTCCAAATCTGGAGCATGTGTTTACATGTAAGGAGTGCTTCATCTGGGCCTCTGCACAGAGACTCCAATTTGACTTTTGTAAACAGTAATCTAGTGAAAAGGAAAAGAGATTCCCATTCAAGCAAAACATTTTTAAAGACAGTCAACATCACACTAAGCTGGAGGAAACATAATTTCAAATATGGTCATAACTTAAGTAATAGTTTAATGAAGTAATTACAATAAAGTCAAATATGTAATGTCACCAAAGTAACAGTGCTTTTTACATGATGGCCTTTTCAACTGGACAGAAAGAATAGTTGAGAAGACAATGTAGCTTAGTCAAATTAGCAAGACCATTAAGAACAGGACATCACGTGTTGAACAGTGACATCCATCCCTGCCCAGGGGCAGCAGTGGGGAAGGAGGGATTGGAACTAGATGATCTTCAAAGTCCTTCCAACCCAAGCCATTCTATTCTTCTACGTCATCACTAAAAAAAAATAAAAATCTTTACTACTTTCATAAGAAAGGACAGTATTTTGCATTAACTGGCCTCAAATGATAGTAATCTAACATAGAACCCACATAAGAAGTTACTTCCCTATGTTATCAAGTTCTCTTACAGGAAAATGGAAGATGCTACATTGTAGAAGATACCACTAGACCAGATAAGATTCAAGCAAGGTAATCAGCACTGGTAAAGTCAACCAGAAAACATAGCTCCACTCTACAATATGTTGACATCAGCAGGCACAAAAAATTATATCTGATTTCAATTTTGAACATTTGCAAGTGAGAGTCTGAAGACAGCACAGCACCCATCAAATATGCAGCAAACCATTCATAATGGAAGCAAACATGTTTGCCAGAAGTCACTATAAATTAATTCTGATTTCAAAGTTGATGTTTCTAATGGTATCAAGATAAATAAAGTGCACAGCCTCATGAGATGACAACTGCATATTCCTCTTACGTTCCATGTATCCAGTTGAAAGTTCTCCACTGAGGCTAACTTAGACACCTTCCTGGATATTTAAAGAATATAAATGCAATGTGATAATAGGGGAGCTAGTCAATTGGTACGTACATTTATAGGAGTCCCAGCATCTGGGAACAGAGAATACACTAGAAAAATACTAATTTAGAAGCAATTTTTAGTAAATTGCAGGATTAAAGAGTACAAAGCAGGAGGAGAGTATGCATATAAAACTGTTAGCCTACTTTCCCTTTTTAAACCCAGGTGTACTTTGGCATTTTGTTCCAGTGCAACCTTAATCATACCAAGTGAAAAATTTATATGATTGCTCATATGGTTTGTGTGGGAAGACTGAGAAGGGTGTAGAGGGTGGGCATGTGTGAAAGCTCAGAAGTTTCTTATCCCAAATACCAACTTGGAGGCTTCTAATAGTAATTGCAAACTGCCAGAGAGTTTTCTCAAGAATAAGAAATTACATCAAGTGCTTCACAAGTCACAGCAGCTAAAGCCTTAGTGTTGCAATGAATATCCTCTGCAGAAACTACCCAGCATGTAAACCTAAAAATGAATCACACTACCTTAAATGTACAATATGTGTGTTGTGGGACTGAGGAGAAAAGGAAAGGCAGGTCACTGAGTTAGTTTAAGAAAATGAGCACCTGTGGATAAAGCCAGGTAAATACAGTCATATGGAGTCTCATTTGATGTCTTGAAAGAATGCAGAACAAAGTAATCAGTTAAAATAGTTTAGCTTTCTTCCTATCAGTAAACTGGATTTGAGCATACAGGGAGCTATATACATAATTTAAAGTCATATTTCATTTGGCAGAGATGTATTCCCTAGATATTAGTTTAACTGTGACTGTATCACTGCAAGAAAAATGTCAAGGTCTGTCCATCACTTTACTAAGGAGAGAAGAAAAACGACAAATAACATCCTCCTTCCCTCATGCTCCCCTCCATCTATTTTACCCTTAACACACACACACAGCTCCCTCACCAAAGAAGACCTTTGCCTCAAAACCCAAACCCAAAATCATAGGAATCTATGTTATACAATCTCTCTCCTGTTTCTCTGTATGTAAAAGACAGTACTTTTTACATTTTGAAGAGCCTACAGAAGTTCAATTTTTAAAAATCTGTGATCATAAAGCACATTACAAAAGTTATGGAACATAATCAATCCAGAAGCACTGAATCTGAAAGTCATTCTAGAGTCGATAACCATAATATATACCTTATTACATACAGTTTACAGATAGATTGAATTTACATTAACAGTCTTCAAGCATTTAAGACTTTCAGGAATCTTGTAGCAGAGAGAAGGCACAGGATCAGTAATACACTAAGATTTTAGTATGCAAGATATAAAAGCAAAAATGGAACAGGAGATAGAAAGGGAGGGGATTCAATTATTGAGAAACTACTTAAAAACACATGTGAAAAAGAGCAGAAGTCTGTGTCACAAAAATGTTGGAAGCTGAGCTACTAGTGCAGGATTCAATGTCCAGATAGCAGAAGAGAAATATTCTTGTAAGAATTAAAGCAACACAGCATTTTGGTGCTTCCAGATGCACTGTAGTACATATGCAACATCATCCCTGTTTCTTGTGTATTACGAAAGTCAACAGACTGTATCGTTGCACATTTCCCAAAATACAAACAATAATCAAAGTATGATGAAAAAATATTCACAATTCTAATAAAGAAATGCTAGGATATTGTATCTAGTAAGAAAAAAAAGTACACTGTTGTGGGATTAAACAAAAAATAATCTTTTGAATAGAAAATATTGCATTTATAAAGTCACACAGAAAACTTTCCTGGATCCAAGAAATATTTGGACTATAAATCTTAAAAGAACTAAGACACTTTAGAAAACTGAACAGGATGTTAATAACAAAATGAAAACCTGCCGACTTAACAAATGGGGGAAGGAAGAGAAGGAGAAAGAAGCAATGGAAAGGAGGAATACCATGTGACAAACTGGTCTCCCAAACTAACTTAATTTTCCCCTGAAACATGGCTGGAGGTATGAGCAGCTCAGGGACAAGTATTACCAGGAAGGTTTTAGAAAACAAGAGGTAGAACATTTGAGAAAAGCTTTTCTGAAAGATCAGCTTCAAGCATCTGTGGAAACAGCTCTTCTGGAATACAGCCTGCATTAGTAACACAGAGAATTTTAAACTTTACAGGGAGCTCTTCACACCGGGTTTTGATACACAATTAAAAATGATGAGGAATGGATAAAATCTATCAAGTGACAGGATGATGAAAATTGAGCTGTACGTTTAGTGAGTATCACGAATTCTCTGTGTCAGTTTGTGAGAGTCAGAGGTTTAAGCTACTGGCACACGGTGACAGAGTAACCTTGACATAGTGGAACAGCAGTTGACTGAGAATGCAAACACTGAGGAAAAGATAATATTCAAAAAAGAAATGAAGAGTAGGACAATGTGTGTCAGAGACAGGTCAAACTGGAATAAATATAACAAATAAGAGCAGAAATCTGTTTGGGTCAAATCCTCTGGGGAAGGAAGTAGGTAAAACAGGTTCTTTTAAAGACCGAGTAATCGGGCATTTGTGGCAGCATCAGTATTTGACATGGATGCAGATCTTTACTGCCAGCTAAAAATAAAGTGAATTGTATCATTTTAGGAGACTAATTACCCAGACACAAAATGGAGAACAAATCAAACTCTTAAGTGGAAAGGCTTAGTTATTCTTGGAGCTAATGGCTGATAAATTTATGAAACAGCTACTGGAGTAGCAAATTACTCCATTACTTCAAGACTGTTCTAACTAATGAGTACATTATAAAACAGCTGTTCATAACCTAATCCATATATTACAGGATATTTATTTAAATAAAGAATGAAAAATCCCAAAGGAGTTTATAACTAGGTCTTTGAATTTCAGTGCCATACACCCACAGTATTTGATAGCAAAGTTTAGCAAAGATATCCAGAACGCAGCAGAAGCCTGGTGGTTAACAAAAAGATGCTAAAATGTTTAGGGATCTGTACCTCAAGTTGAAAGGGTAAAACTCCCTGTGTGCCAAGCCAATCACTTGATTAACACTGTGCTAGTAACACATCAGAAACATGCAGAGATCCTATCAAGAATAGCAGAGGACAGGCAGGTGAGAAAAAAATCAGCACAGAAAGCCACACTTTAGGTACCTAGTAAAAAGCAAAGCTAAACTACACCTGAACAGACTATTATTATACACAAAAGTTATAGTCTTTTAAGGTTTTTATTGCATTTAAGTAGGAAAGAAAAGAAAATGTGCATACTAAACAGGGACAAGGAGATGAAAATTAAGAATATTCATGAATTAATCCTTTCTGAAGTTTGAATTAATGCTTTTGTCAAGAGAAAAGGAGTATTAAATAACATCATTATTAAAAAAAAAGGGTTATTGTTCAAGTTTAATAAAAAGATTGTGCCAACCAACCTGTGTAACAGTTATTCCAAACCAGAGCTGCCTAAAAAGCTGGGTTCATCAAGATAAGACAGCTGTGAAGAGGCCAGATGCAATTCAGGGATGCACTCATTGGAGCAGAAAGAGAAAGACACGGTGTCACTGTACAATACCCCAGTGAGAACACATCTGGAATGTTATATGTAATCCTCATTGTAAGAGTTAGAACGACACACATGAGGAATTTCAAATTGGAGCAGCTGCAGAGAAAGGCTGCAAGGGTGATCTATTGACTAGAAACTGCAGAGTACAAAAAATACTTCATTTAGTTAGTCTAGGGAAAAAAAAGCCAAGAAGAGGTAGAAATTCTATCTCTAATTACAAATGAGACAAGCACCATGAAGAGAAAAGAATAACTTATCTAGAGGATAATGTTTCCAAAAAAATGAGTATATATAAAGGTCATTCAGACTATTAAAACATTAAGAGTGGAAATTAGGTCTCAAGATTATAAATGAAATCTTAGAAAAGACTGCTTCCTCACAGTTTGTTTTGGATAGACTACAGTAAATGTGGAGCAAGTAATGTAACTTCTTAAAATACAGTTGATAAATTCATGAAAACTATTACAGATAGGAAAACTGTAAGAATGGCACTTTGTGACTTCTGAAATTCTTGCTCCTGCTTTATTTCCTAATCAGTACAAAC